AGAGAGAGAGAGAGAGAGAGAGAGAGAGAGAGAGAGAGAGAGGGGCTGAGCGATACAAGATCGGTTACCACGAACCTGCTGCGCTGAAGATTGGTTGTGCGGTCCACGAAGAAGTAGCGGTCATCGCCGCAGAGCTCGGAACACGGAGGACAGAGGGGAGAGAAGCAGGAAGGAGGAAGAAGGGGAAAACGAAGGTGAAGACCGACATAGCCGGGGGTGTACAAAAAAAAAAAAAAAAAGGGGAACCGCGGGAAAGAAGAATGGTGAAGGAGGAGAAAGAGAAGGGAGATTGGCGAGGAAGAAGGTGCCGGCAGCCATAGCCGACTTGAGGGTTCACCAGGCGTTGACCAGAGGGTTGACCAGAGCATTGACCGGGGTTTGACCACGTTGACCAAGCGTTGACCAAGGCGTTGACCGGAGCTGCTGACCACGATTTTGACCAAGCTGGAGTTGGTATAATCTCGCCGAGCCCTCAGCCTATTCCCTCGCCCTATGGATGTGCACTCACCCTATGGTACTTGCTGAGTCTGAGTCTGTCTATCTCTTCTTTCTGCATTGAGTCTCTTCTGTCCAGGTGATAGGACTCCGTGTATGAAGAATAGGGCTTCGTTGACCAAACCCACACGGGCTGAGTAGGGCTAAAGACTGTGTCTGACGACTCGACTGTCCCGGAGGACACAAACCCTCCCAAGGACCGATACTGACCGGCAGGCTGCTCGGTGTGGCACGGTGGGCCCAAAATCCGAGCTGTGGGCTGAACAACGGGCCGTCTAAGTCTTGCGAGAACCTGCTGATCGTGTCGTCCTGTCTGCGACGTTAAAGAATTCTTGAGGAGTTACGAGGGATCTCCTTAAATACCTCCTGATCAGCAACAGGTTCTGTAGCGACGGCTGTAGTTTACAGTCTAGGCTAGTGCCCCTAGTTGACAGGGTCTGAACCGGAGTGAAAGCCAGGTGGGTTTGACCGCAGGTGCTAGGCATCTGGGTCTGGATTGCAAGGACTGTGGTTGCCAAAGCTTCCGTCGGCCGTGTTAATCTGGGTGGAACCAAGGGTAGGGCTTTGTAGTCCATAGAGAGTCAGTTAGTTTAAGTTAAAGTCAGTTAGGGGGAGAGTCTAAGTGGTGAGGAGTGGAACCGTCACTTGGTTGTGCACCTATCACCATGGTTGAGACACGTACCGGAACGAGTACTACCCCCTACACAGCCGAAGAGGAGGCAAAGGCCTCCGCCATCCTGAAAGAGAGAAAAGAGAGGAAGGAGGCCAAGAAGAAGGCCTTGATGGAGGAACAGGCAGCGAAGATGAAGAAGATTGACGAGGAGATGGCCAGAGAGTAAGAGAGGTTGAAGAAAGAAAAAGAGGAGAAGTTAAAAGCGGTAGAAGAGGAGGAAGAGATAAAAGAAGAGCCACTGGAGAGGAGAAGAAAGGAGCAAAGAGGGGAATCCAGTGGAACAAGAGATGACCAACTGGAGAAGAAGATCACAGAGTGGGTTGCAAATTTATCCCTGGGAGAAGAAAAAGAAGCGTTAATGTATGTACCCAGGGAAGAGCAGGAGGCGGCCGTAAAGGTGTGGGAGGCGGAAGAAGATCCACTCAGGCATCAGGCCATGGAGGATGAGACGAGGATGGAGTGGAAGCTACAGCTCATGAGGGAGAGAAAAAGGAGGATGGAAGCGGTGAGCCAGACGGCGAAGGAGTTGGAGGAAGTAAAAAAGCAGAAAGACCAGATGGCGGTACATACTGCGTAGCCACACGGGCCCTGCAGGGCTCCTACTGCACTTTCTGCCTAAAAGACTAGAAAATAGGGATTACAGGCCCCGGTCGTTTCAGTCTGAAACTGAAAAACGAGGGCCTGCAGGCCCTATTCCGTTTTCAGCCTATTCTTAGGCCTTTCAGGCCCAAAGGCTTTTCAGCCTGAAACGGAGGGCCATTTTCAGGCCCTCATTGTTTCGACCGACCCTAGGACTTTGGCACAAAAACAAGGTTTTCGGAACAGGCTATCTTTAGCCTGTTCCCCACGACAGCTCGAGCAGGAGCTGCAGCGACAGCCCCTGCCTCCCTGCGGCATTATTGGCAAGAGCACGAGCAGGAACTGCAGCTGCAGCTGCAGCCCCTGCCTCCCTTCGGCATTATTGACGACAGCTCGAGCAGGAGCTGCAGCGACAGCCCCTGCCTCCCTTCGGCATTGGCAAGAGCAGCCTCCTGGACTGCCTCGCCCTGCAGTCAGGAGGCAGGCCGAGTAGTACATAGGGAGTTCCCATGCACTTCACGGGTAGGTAGTGTCAGTAGGCAGTAGTAGTCTTCAGGATTTTGGCCGCAGCACTCAGGAGGAGCGCTGCAGTAGTCTTCAGCGCTAGGCAGTAGCCTTCAGCGTTAGTGGTAGTCTTCCTGTCTCTTATACACATCTAGATGTGTATAAGAGACAGCTGTTGAGAGAGAGAGAGAGAGAGAGAGAGAGAGAGAGAGAGAGAGAGAGAGAGAGAGAGAGAGAGAGAGAGAGAGAGAGAGAGAGAGAGAGAGAGAGTTCTTCTTCCTCTTCTTCTAAGTCCACCATCTCTTCTTCCCCTCTCACCACCTGACTTCTCAGTATCAGCGGACTACTACAGAGAGAGAGTTGTGACTTGGGATTTGACGACATTGGATCCAGACTTGACATTTGGGATTCAGACATTTCGACGAGGGACTATTTGGGCCTGTGCCGAAGACTTGGTGTTGACGACATTCCCATCTTCCCCCCTAACGATGATGATGATGTATGTTCAGGGCTGCATTGCAATATTGATTGTTCGGATCATTGGTATTTAAGTCTTCCGCTACGCCATCTTGTACTTTGCATTGAGAGGTC